TCTTATTGCTTAATTAAAGCACAACCTTCCTCTACATGACAAGCAATTGGACTGTTAACATTATAGATGATTATCCAACCCAGCATATTTTATTTTTACAACTTATTCTTTTTATGTATACATGATGCTCATTTCAGGTACACTTACTTCTGAAAATATGAAAAATCTGTTTCTTTACTAACTTTCTGGCTACCATACAAATTACCACTTGCAAAAACATGGGCAAAATATTGTATGTTAGAAATTAGTAATTTAGGTGTTGAAATAACAGTCTGATAGCTATAAAGCAAATTAATGCATGAATTTGAGGGCCTCTGAGTATAATAGTTTCTTGTCTCCATTCTATTTTTGATCTGGTAAACATTAAGAATGCTGCTTATGTGCCCTTACTTGTAAAACAAATTTAAATAAATAAATGTGTAGGCTTTATATAAGAAAACCTTAAAACTCTTCTGAAGAACTCAGAATAAGCAAATGATATAACCTAACATGCACATGAGTAAGAAAAGTGCATAGCACAAAAGTATTGATTTTTCTCAAATGTACCTATGAATTTAATAAAAATTCAATAAAAATTTAAAAATCAACAATGTTTTTAATATAGCAAAGTGATACTAAAATTTTTGGGTTAAAAATCTTCTGCCTATAGCTACCATGCGATTTTTTTGGGGGGGGGTCTTATTTATAGCAAAATTACTTCAGCATAGTCTATAGAGATTATTTTCAATTTGTCTCCTCTCATTCTCTTAAGCTAACTTCAGTTACATTTTCTCTCCCACCGTACCACCAATGCCCAACATTGCTAATCCCATCTAATCTTCATGTTCCTTGATGTGAGGATGACATTTTACAAATGGCTTCCACAGGGCTTCCAGGAAACCATCCTTTTCCGGTTCCCTCCCCCTTCACTGACTATACTTCAGAATCTTGACTTCTAAACATTGGGGTGCCGTGTCTAAGACTTTGACACTCCTTTCTGCTTCTACCCACAACTGCTCCCTCAGTGACTTCACCCAGTTTGGTGAGTTAAATCCCTTCTTTATGCTAGAAATTTCTAAAGTCCTATTCTAACCAAGACCTAAAGAACAGATTCTTGCATTAATGCTGTTCTCCTAGCATTTCCAACTGGACACTTCAAAGTAAGTGGGTCCAAAGTAAGTGGGTCCCAAACAGAACCCTACCAACTTTTTCCTGCTAAATCTTCCCCACCTTAATAAACTTTGATCCCATCCTCCTACTTGCTCAGACCAAAACCTTTGTAGTCAACTCTGACTCTTCTCAACCTCTCATTTCATAGGAAACCCATCAGAAAGTTCTGTCTGTGTTACCTCCAGAATGTTTTTGGAATGTGAAACCACACATCATCACTGCCTCCTTTTCCATCCTGGTCCGAGCCACCATCATCTTTGCGTGGATGATTCTAATAGCTTCTAATGAATGCACCTGCTGCCGCCCTTTGTCCTCTTCTGTCTATTCTCAGCACAGGATCCAGGATTGTCCTTGTAAAACATTCATCTGGTCATGCCACCTTCCTCCTCAAAATCTTCCAATACTATTCCACATCCAGAGCACAAACACACAACACGTGCGCACAGCGGCGCGCGCGCACACACACACACACACACACAGAGAACAAAAAATAATACTTGAAAAGCTTTACATCTTACATAGATTAAAAGTTAAAGTCAATTAGTAACCTCTAGCCTCTGCCTCTATGACTCTCCTGTGCTCTCCCTCTCCTGCCTACACTCCTGCTTTCCTGCTGTTAGCCCCTTCATGCCACTTGCCTCCACCAGGAGTGTCCTTTCTCAAAGCTTTGCTCAAGTTCTTCTCTGCCCAGAACTCTCCCCAGCTGCCTGCAGAGGCCTTTCCCTCATCTCCTTCCACTCTTTGCTCAAGTATCACTTTCCAATAAAACCCTTCTTATTTACAAAAGTGTCCAAGTGACACACAGGAAGTGTCCAAGCATCCTTCCTGATTTATTTTCCTTCAGAGTGCTTATCGCTATTTCTCTGTCTCTGTCTCACACACACACCCATACACACACACATTTATTCTGTTTACAGTCTATATTCCACACAAGAATGCATGACCTATGAGGGCCAGGATTTTTTTTTTTTTCCTAATCTGTTTTGCTTGCGGTTACAACATCAGCACTAAAAATAGTGCTTGGTATCTAAAAATCCATGAGTAAAAGCTTGTAGAGTGGATGCAAAAATGATATGCAGATAATTAAAGGGATATGTATTTCTGTGGAAGAAATATTAAGACATTATAACTAGCAATTGGAGGGGAGAGACTTTTATAAATGTCTCTTTTTTCCTACAGTTAGTTTTCGCTATCTAAAATTATAACACAAAACTATGTTGGCATTGACATTACAGGGTATTATAGCATATTTGTTGATTTTTTTCTTTATACTCTGACTTTTCAAAAAAATCTAACAAATTTTATTTTACATAAATCCACAAAACCTTTAAAAACGTTGCAGTTACAAACAAGTGATTCACCCAGAGACCGAACAATGGTAGAATAATGAGTTGTCCAGCTAAATGAATAGTCCCACATCTAAAGAATGCATGAATTCCAAATGAGGGACGAAGTCTAAGAAGTTTATCCACCTACTGAAGCAATAAGTATATGGTAAGTGTTCCGTTTTGAAGACAAGAGAAGAGTTTACCGAGGTTTTATTTTACTGTACATAGTACAGTAGTAGAGGGTAAACAACATGTCTCTTGGTACGTCCGTTCACGTATCAAATAATAAGAGTATGACTGGGAAGCAATAAAGCAACTGGAAACTTGGATCTCACAGTCCGTGTTCGGAAACAGAACAGAGTAAGAGCTGATTTTATTAGCTTGAGTGATAGGCTATTATATTAATGGTTCCATTCAAGGCAGGGTGGCCCTGGCTCACCATCGTGCTGACTGTGCTCCATTTCGTAATGACTTACGGTTTTCTGTCAGGCATCATCAGCACTTTGATGACCCAACATATATGAAGAAAAACGTTGATACTAATTCTGGCACATTTTACTCGTTTCAATCCAAAGGTATTGTTAATGTTAGGATTAAAGTATGTTGAGTTTTTTGCGAACTGCATTAAAAATATGGGAATTTTTAGTAGGACTATCTGCCAACTGAGGAACATATGGTTACTTTTTCTACTAATAAATATTTCTACAGATAGGAGACTAATGAAGCACACAGAGATACTGCCTTTTCATGATTATTAAAGACATAGATTCCCAAGAGAGAGGAATAGATTAAGGTTATTTCAAGCACAGCTTCATAGAAAACTACCTTAAGTACCTGACCTTGCTTAGCACATATCATATGATGAAAGAATGGGACATAAACATGTAATTACAGAAAAATCAAAATAAATACTTCGATTTTTTTAAAGTACACGCCTCACACTCATCACACCGAAATAATTTTTTAATCAGAAAACATTATATAACTTCTACTTCAATGGTCTTGATGCTTGATATTTTGGTCCTTTTAGCCGCCAAATAATAAAAGGATCTTACAGTCAAGAAGCTCTTCCATTTTTATTCAATTTCAGTCTTAGCAAGATAGTCTTGATGTTAAGAGCATTTTGTATTTTTTTTTTTTTTACGAGATTATAAGCTCAGGATTTTCTGATCTCTCTCAATTTTTCTCCACTTCAGGTTTTCTCCGAGGTAATAGTATAGCTATTTGATAGAAATGTAGCCATCTTAGGACTTTCTTTTTAAGTGGGGCTCCACATTTTTCACAATTTCAAACAGTAGGCACAACAAAGTGCACTGGAGTGGAAAGAGAGAAAGTGTGGGGCCAACATGTTCTCCTGAATGTTTTAGGAACACAAAGTCTTAGAAGAATTCTTTTTGATTTTTGGTACTAGAACACTATGGCCCCCCTAAATATTTTCTGAATCCAGTCCCGTTTCCTTTTATCACTTATTTTTTTCTACTTTTGCCGGTACCGATTTTGGGGCTATGTTTAGGTTTGGCACTTTATTTATTTCTAAAATCTACTTCAGCATTTCTGTCATTTGGATTTTCTGTCCCTTCTGTACTCACTGTTTGCTTTTCCACTTCTACTCATTCTGGTGTATCCATTTTATGCTTAATAATTTCTCAATCTAGGCTTTTCCTGGTCTTCATCTTTTTACCTTGCCATTTAAAATTTTACACAGGCCCTATTTATATTTTGTCTGAATGACACATATATTTTCAGTGACAGCTTTTGAGTAAATAATTCAATATCGTAAATTTTCTATATTATTCATATAGTCCTTGGAAATAATTAAGATGGTGAGTTTTTCATAATTGTTGAGACAGTTTAAAAAATTTGTGCATAAAAATTTAAGATGTAAGTAGAGACATTTAATATGGTATAATTGTCTTCATTTCTATCAAATAGCCCTGCCTCTTAATTTTATTTTGAACTAAAAAGCCATCTAGGTTATACCAGGTGGTTTATTAGATTTTACAAAAGTCAGAGCCTCAGAATACCTATAATAGCATACAAGAACTAGATGAACGGAAAACCTCAGAATGAAATAAACATAAAAGAAACATTTCAGTATGGTCTTTTGTAAGGCAAGGGATTAGGTGTGCTTACAATTAGGTACATTTCTGAAAACCAAACTCAAGGACTAAGACGGGGTTTGATTTCAAACAATCCCTCCATAGCATATGCATTGGTTGCTATGCAACACAATTTAATATCAACAAATGATGTGAAGTGATTTTTGCATACTGTAATTGGCTGGCGAGTTTTGCTCCTTGAAAATTGCAAAGAGAACGCGGTGATTTAAATTTAAATGGCTATGTTAAAAATGCTAATTTTTATAATTAAAAAAAAAACTACAACGCAAAACCTACATCTTAAAACTGAAGAAAAGAACTGCCTTCTGTGATAATAAATGTGCAACAGTCTGGAAAGTTTCTCTTCCACCCTTTGGGAAAGCATAGAACATATTGAAATAACTTTTTATGCTGGTCTACTCACCTAGCTTCTCTGATGAGTTGGCTGTGGAAAGCCTGTATGGAGGCAGAGCTCAATTAGTGTAATTTATGTATCCTTGGACGTCAATCATTCCTGTTGAGAGGTGGGACTCGTAAGCTCTCAGTGCATTAATTAAGAGCTCATCTCAACAGAGCCATCTTTCTACCTAAGGACCAAAAAGAAAGTTTTAATTAGATTTTTAAAAGCAAGTATGTCATATATGAAAGCAAGTGTAGTTCTTTAGCTGGTATGCAAAGCAACAACTGGAAGGGGGTATTCCAAACAATCCAAAGGGCACACATTTTCAATCACCTGCGATGTTAGGAGTAAAGGTGGGAGGGGAAGCATCCATCTCAAACCTTGGTCTTGGCCCTCAGAAATCACCTCATGGAAAGAACTAAAGTTTTGACTGTGTTGTTTTATTGCCAACATAATTATTGGACCCCTGTCTAATTATTGATGCAGAGCTGATGCTGATCGAGTGGAATTAACAACATTGAGGACAGACAGTGTTTCTCTCTGATGGCTGGCTTTTTGTTCCAGGCTGGCTTTGGACTGCATACTCAGTGGGCAATACAATGCAAGTTCAGCAAAACCGAGTGAGGGAACTTGCACAACACATCAATTTCATTGGTTCAGTGATGGAGTGAGTGTGCCGTTGTTCACGGACCTAAAAATACAGGGACTCGAGAGAGGTAAAAACTAGCAGGGCTCACTGGTGTCAGCTGCTTGAGAGAGGCTGTTCTCTTTGGAATGGCTTGTGTGAGGCCATCAAACATCCTCCTTAGGGCTCACTTGGGAAATAATAGATACATTATTGATTAAAATATTTATAAATTAAGGGAGGGAAACAAATTTTAAAAGCTAGTTCGGAATCTAGAAGGGAAATATATCTACTAATAGCTATTAACCCCTCCCTCATCATAATTAAGGTGGGGAGGTCAGGATGCATGCTTGGGAGAACAAAACCAAAGGAGTTTGCCAATGTCAAGAAAAAAATCAAATAGCAGGAACAAAAGGAAAACAACAGAACAATAGAAACACCATCATAAGTCACAGATATAACGAATACACTATCCAAACTGAAATATTCCAAAAGTTCAGCCCAGAAAAAGTAGGGATGCAAATTTCATGCTTTCAGAAAGGTTATAGACGAGGGGGGGTGGAATTGAGCCCAAGCACAAGGAGCACAAAATAAATGATGCAATAATTATAAGGCGGCTTCTAACAGGGATGACTGGCCCAAGGGGCCGACGCTTCCAAACACAAGGAAAGCTCTGCTCCCCGGCTCAATGTAAGAGAAACTGTACTCAGTGTTTTCCCATCGCTCTTGTATTTCATGTCGTTTTTCTAAGGGAGGGTGTTTAGAGAATCCAGTTAGCGTATATGCTATCAATTTACCCCCTAACTAGCGTACTTGCACGGACTGAGTAACAGTAACATACCTGACAAAAGAAACTATAGATTTTATAGGCAGACGGTTTATGCGGTATGTTTGTAAATGATAGTATATGAGGAAACCATGACTGTATAGACAATGTGTCGAAAGAATAAAGCTGGAAAATTGTAACTCATCATTTATGTTAATGTTCATAAAGCTATTTTATACTCCTCTCTCTACTCTTTCCCCTCACATATTTTCCTAGCTATTTTGCCTCATTTATTGTGCTGTATAATGTTTATCGCATAGTACATAGAGCAGTACTCCCCAGATAGAAGTTGGCAGTCTGGTTGGTTACACCAATCTTGTGCGTCTGAAAAATTTATGTAATACAACATGCTGCATTTGAGTACCGTTTTTGTGTCCTTCAATGCATCTTTTTATTTGCACTTAAGCCAGCTTATATTACTAGGCAAAATTACGTCTTTAGTATATACTAAAGGATGTCTAAATGGTAATATTCATATACATAGTTTTGTGTTTTATGACTGTGCAATTTATGTACCTCAGGACTCTGTTTTCCAAACAATGTTTAAATTCCTTTTATGACAGACTGAGGACAGAACATGTTAAAGTTAATGAATATTTAGTACAATTGTTTTCAAAGAAGAAATATATCATGATGCATTTTTTCCATGAGCTGTCAGCTTTTTTTGGCACCCTCCCCCCCAAATTAGTTACAAATAGTTTTGTGATCTGAAAGCATCCTTTAACTACACTGACCATGGTAACTTTGTTGTACCTTCCCTGTGAGTTTCAGTGGGCTGTGTTTTGTTTCTTAAGAGCCTGGAGGAAGAAACAGGCTTCAGAGCACGTAGTAAATTTTTGTGCTTTTAGCCAAATATTGGGATTTTCCTACAACTTAATTTGCAGCTTTGAAAGAACCCAACTTTATGTTGCTGGAGGTAGAAGGAAGCCTTTTCCTAAATGAAATTTCTTTGTTTTTCTATAAGCCATTTTCTCCACCTAATGGCACCTGTCGAATCAGCTAAATCAGAAGACCAGCTCCTATTGTTACTGGAACAATGGATCCATACTAGCCTTTGTGCTTTGCTCTGAAATGGCTGGCCTTGGTGCGATGACATTCCAAGGAAGAAGCCCTGGTCTGCATTTGGAGAATGGCGGCTGAAATGGAAGACCCAGGTTCATCTTCCGCCCTACCCTATTGTGAGAAATTACATCATTTTCACAGATTCTTTGTCACTTCACCATGTCATTTCCCGAAACTCTCTTATCCTCAGAGAATGATTCTGTGTTACCAACCATACACGTTTAATCTTTTCCCTTTAGCAGCCGCCATGACAGCAGCAGGACAAGAAAATACATGGCTTTGTTTCTTCTCTAAGGGTTTTGATGAGCCTCCTCTATTTCTGGCAGAGGTCACTGAAAAGTGTAATTTGATGAACTGGGGGGTTGATTAAAAAAAAAAAAAGTGAGCCCTGGAAGTGACATCATGAAGTCTCCATCTGTTTCAACTTAAATTTTAAATCATTTGCTATGTAAGAATAGCATAGCTGGATTTGTTGTTTTGTTCATTATATTTGAGTGACTATAGTCACATAAAGCTACATGGTCCAGAAAACAAAGACTTAGAGCACATTTTACTCACTGAATAGTTTTTACCAGGTGGGCCAGTAAATTCTTTTGAACATTTAGCTAATTCATTCAGTGAAATCAGTCAAACTAATATATATTAATTTGCTACATTTTCTATACTCAGGGGACTTGTATCCAAAGGCAAACTGTAATGAAACTGTCGATAAAATGACCCAGTTCTATGTTGTCTTATCACTGGTGATTAAGTGTGAAAGAACAGGTTTATTGTCTGATCTCCTCTACTTTTTCTGAGAAATTATATTAGAAGGAATAGAAATTCATTTTTGTAATGTATTGTGAGAAAAAATATGGACATTGAATATTAGATTCAAAAACACATATATCATTAAAATATAAGCTGGGACTTCCAGCAGCCTATAAAGGACAAAAACACCAACTCTGAGTTTATTTTACAATTCACATTTGCAATTATTAGGTGCATTATCAGAGATTTTCCTATTTCCATTAATGAGATTCCATATAAAAAACCTTGCAGATACAAATTCAACCAAGGAAAGCCACAGCAAGCCTTAGTGTCTTAAAATGTGTGGGTTTGGAGAATGAAACTGGGCAAGTGTTCTGCAAAATCTACTTGTTTAGATAGATTTTTCCCTAAGCCATAGAGGAGAGATGGCTGAGTGGGTTATCATTCTTTTATCTTTGACATTTTATTATTTAGCTTTAATGCTAAAATATTTTATTGTACATGAGCCTAGAGGTTTTCTGCTTTGATATGTTTATAAGACAGAATAATAAATAAATGATGATTTAGTCCACTATTGATATCAGGATTGTAGTAAGCTTCGTATTTTTTAAGCCTTTCCAATTCTGACTTAGGAAAATTAGTTTCTAGTTACTTTCTTGACATCTAAATTATTAGGGGGAGAAGAGCCCCATCCAACAGTTTCGTGGGCATTAGGTTATGTAAGTGACACCAACTAATATGTACTTGTATTGACTATTCCAAGTACCAAATTGTGTTCCTGTAACTCTTCTACAAGTTTAGTGATAGAAGGGAGTAGTAGTTAATTTACTCTACTAAGAACATACTCGAACGTGATCTTGGAATTAAAGATTAGTCTCTCATAATGAAAAGTTTGGCAGTTAGTGAAACTATTCAAACACTTTACAGGTGAAATCCCAGTGGTGAAATACAGTAAGGAAAGTCCACATTCATTTATATTCTTTAACAGTGTATTTTTTCATATATTCTCCTCTTTCTGTGTTCATGTTTATATATGGGCATATAAGCACACAATACCCATACCTGTTAATTGCATTTTTATTAACTTAAATGATTTTATTTTATTTTAAAGAAGATTGAGAGGGTGGAGAACTCTTTAATATTCAACAAATATGCACTATTTCCAAATAAGCTTGTAAATGTCATGATACTTGAAAAGCTTCACTCTTTCATTGTGGTATAATTGACGTGTAACATTATATTAGAATCAGGTGTAGAACATAATGACTCGGTGTTTGTATACAGAAAACTTCACTTTTAGTGGGCCATTTCCTTAAAATCCTGTAGAAACTAGATGCAGGGTATTTTTTAAAAGAGCTATGAGTTATTATATGCCCCATTTCTACTATCAACGGTAAAGACTTATTTCTCCTGTTTTCATATTCTCAAAAACACAAATCAAGGAAAAAAAAAAGAGACTTTTTTTCAGTGATCTAGAACATCTTGAGATAGTAGTGTCCTATTTAACCAGTTATAGTTTTGTATAAAATATGAATCACTTTGAAAATTGGTCTCCTACATTCAACACCACCCAAACAACAAGTGTGTAATTGGGGATCGATATTTGCATATGTATGTTTAATGTATATTTGCATATGTATGTTTAATGTCAAGTAGAAACCTTTAACATCTCCCTTTGTCTAAGAAATGTGTGTGAGTGGTGATGAGGTAGGGGATGTAAAGGATACTTAACTGGTTCATTCACACAGGTATTTAGACAATGAATTTTTATTTAACCCCTTCTACTTGCCCAGGACTCTTCTGTGTTCTGAGAATAAAGTAATGAGCAAACTAGATGAAGACCCTGCACTCATTGAGCTTCTCTTCCAGTAGATGTGTAGATAGAATTGTTCCTAAGACCTCAATACATTGATCCTGTCTCCTC